AAATATAATATAATAATAATATTAATAAAATAAAACGTAAAATAATAATAAACATAATAACAATATAATAATATTATTAAAATAATAATAATAATAATAATAATAATAATAAAGGTTTAAATGCTTTTAATTTGGCAATGTGCACTTTAAGACTGGCCTGCAAGTAAGTATTTTAACAGCAGCAAGTGTATAATTACATTGCATTTGCCTTCTGATGCTACACGAAGAAATACATTTGAAATAAATATAATCCTTGAATGTAAAATGACTATTGCAACACGTTGAGGTTATATAATGAAGCAAGCAGGTTAGGTTACTAAATTACACACTTTTATAGTCTCCTAAATAACCACTTTTGTCCTAAATAAAGAAAAAACAATGGCTACGTCCTATTAATATGTCCATAATATGCCTCTACAAAACAGTTTAAATCCAGTTTAATTGTATCACCACTAGATGGGAGCAGCGGACAGCAGGACAGGAGAGACATTTCTGCGTGAAAAAATGTCAACTGGCTTTTTTAATGAAAAAGTGAAACTACATTCTGAAGCTCGTTTGCTTTAAGCTATCATTGCAGTCATTTTAGTCTGTTAAAACAGAAAGATGTCTAAACAGAATGACAGACGAGGCATGACAGCTTGCTATACAAATGTAATGTATGATGAACCTAATAGTATTAACATTGTAACAGAATGCAGTTACATAAATATTTATAAATATTTTTATGTAATAACCCTTTAACTGCCCCATCAATAATGTTTTTTTTTTTTTTTTTTTGATTTCATAACTCCTAATGTCGCTAGTTTACACACTCAATGCATTTTTCAACACATGTCATAATTTTTTTTAAATATCAGCCTCTACTAAACGGTAGATATGTCGGTTTTTGGAAAAAGTGCCAGAATTAATACATATACTATGAAAATCGGAAAATTAATATTATTATTATTATTATTATTATTATTATTATTATTATTATTATTAATTTTGAACACTAGACCAGCAATGCTGTGTGTGTACACCGTACTTTGAATGACTTTAACAGTCATTATTTAAAACAATCAAAATATGGTCAACCGTTCGGTAGAGCAGGCAGTAAAATGGTTAATGTATATTAAAAGTGCATACATAAATCTGAAATGTTTACATTAAAACAACATACATTTAATTGTAATAGGCTATAATATCAATTAAAAAAAATACATAATAAGTATTTTTGTACAATAATATATAATATTATACACAATATATTATATTGTTTTATATTATATTATACACAAACACATGAGATTAGTCAATACTGAGGCAAATCTAAAGCCAATCTAACAAAATGCTTTATGATAATGGTCCAAAAATAAGTACACCCAAATGTGTTAGAGAAAAATATTCACCAACTAAACTAAACTAAAATATATAAAAAATATTGTACAAATTTTGTAGCTTGTAAATTAAATGTATTATCTTTCTATTTCTTAAGATGTCCGACTAAAATATTATTTTAGTAAATATATCTGTTTAATAAATCTGCTTTGTTTAAGTGCACAAAAATATATATTACCTACCTATATTCAATGAAAAATTTGGAAAATATTAATTTTCACAATGGGCTGTACTCAATTATGCTGAACACTGTCTAATTGTTTTTAAAAAAGTATGTAAGAAGCCCATGCTTTGAATGAGTTGCATATCAAAAATCTAATCAAGCTTTTATATTCTATGGTTAAGTGAAGGCAGTGGCGCAGTACTGTCGCCTCACAACAAGAAGGTCACTGGGTCGCTGGTTCGAACCGCGGCTCAGTTGGCGTTTGTGTATGGAGTTTGCCTTCGCGTAGGTTTCCTCCGGGTGCTCCGGTTTCCCCCACAGTCTAAAGACATGTGGTACAGGTGAATTGGGTAGACCGTAGAGTCTGTGGATGAATGATCGAATGGTTAAGTGAATTGGTTCTTGGACAAGTCTTATTTTATCTGAAAATAGTTAACAAATCAAGAAAAAGCTCAATTTGTGCATGCATCCTTATTTCTTTTAGAGAAAGGTTTAAATCTGCCTCCCGTCCTCGTATTTCTCTCTCTCTCTCTCTCTCTCTCTCTCTCTCTCTCTCTCTCTCTCTCTCTCTCTCTCTCTCTCTCAGCATGGTAGTTTTTAATTCTGTGTTTGTGCAGATGGCTGGTTGCCCCATTAGCATTCATTACAGATTCCTTGAGCACTTAATTATGGAACAAGAGAGAAGAGTGGCAGACGGAAACATTGAGAGTCTCTCTCTCCCCCTCTCTCTCACTTCTGAACCTTTAGGTGCATGTATGGCAAAGTGAAGATCAATGAAAATGTTTTCAGAATGCCTGCATTACCATACATATCTTATTATTGATGTGCATGGGGAAATGTGAATTAAAATAGTTTCAAATAATGCAAATAATGATTCACTGCTCTTTTTGTGCAATACAATGAACCTGTTAGAATGGTTCAGCACAGTCTAAAAAAAATCTGATAATATGTACTGCCAGCTTAAATTCAGTTGTTCAATAATCAGGTTTTTTGACAAATGATAAAAGGTTTATAACTTTAACTTTAAGGTTTACAATTTAACTAAGCATAATTTGTTGTTAATTTAATGGCTAAGAACTGATAACAGTCTGTCTAGACTATTGTTTGAAAACAATAACATTGATTTTAAAATTAATAATGGACTATATTTACGAAAGTTTAAGCTGAACATTAGTTTGAGGTACAAAAGCTAATTGAAAAGCTAAAATCTAACTGCTTTATTGACAATATTAGGCATGTACATTAGGTTTACAATTTAACTAAGCATAATTTGGTGTTAATTTAATGGATAAAACTGATAACAGTCTGTCGAGACTATTGTTTGAAAACAATAACATTGATTTTAAAATTAATAATGGATAATATTTACGAAAGTTTAATCTGAACATTAGTTTGAGGTACAAAAGCTAATTGAAAAGCTAAAATCTAACTGCTTTATTGACAATATTAGGCATGTACATTAGGTTTACAATTTAACTAAGCATAATTTGGTGTTAATTTAATGGATAAAACTGATAACAGTCTGTCGAGACTATTGTTTGAAAACAATAACAATGATTTTAAAATTAATAATGGATAATATTTACGAAAGTTTAAGCTGAACATTAGTTTGAGGTACAAAAGCTAATTGAAAAGCTAAAATCTAACTGCTTTATTATTAGGCATGTACATTACGCAGAGTTATGTATAAATACATTTTCATTACGTCGTAAATGCAACGAAAAATTTACTTAATCTATTAATTTGGCTCAACGGCTAATAGCCTTCGAATAAAAAAGCGAGGCGCCGTCTAGTTTATTCCTTGGTGTAAAAGGGTCCGTCTTAAAGCATGACTGTGCGAAATTCACGGGTTTTTGCTTTCTAAATAGGCGCTCAACATGTTGTTCTGCCAACTGTAATGATTTTCTAATGCGCACTGGAGTTAACGAGCCTGTCAAACATTTAGCCTAATCATTACCTCTAAAAACACAAGATGAAACGGTCGCTGAACAGCCCCTCAAGATAAATATCGGCCTGTAAATTAATAGCGAGGCTGAGGTTTGTGAGGCATTTAGCTTAAAGCTTTCCCCGCAAATGTCAGCATGAAACTTATATCAAACCCTTGAGACGAAATAGTTTCAATTATTTACCCGCTGTGTCGTGTAAACCTCGTAATGTCGTCTCGTAGAGCCGAGCACTGACCGGGTGAGTGGTTGGAAACAGGTGCAGGAGGCCCATTCAGATCTTATCTAAGTGCAGCTCTGGAAACCATGCAGTCACCAAGTTAATAGATTACTGCGTAAACAGGTCAGCGAGTCCTCGTTATAACCAACAGGCTTTGGTTAAAGACTAAACGACGACAGTAATACGTTGGTACAGACGAAAAAAGTGGCATCGCTTTGGACGAATTGGGTCATTTAGGAAGGGTTGTGCCAGATCCGTGCCAGACTATTTTCCCCGGAATAAATTCGCATTATAATCAACAATCAATAAAAATAATCTAAAAAATAATAATATTGGCTATTATGATTATTATGAGGAAAAGGCAATTACTCATTAGTAACATAAAGTAGTATTATTGTTTCATAAATAAAGTGTGTTATCATTAGTAGGTTACTAACATAATAATAATAATAATAATAATAATAATAATAATAATAATGATGATGATGATAAAACAGTTTTATGTTGAATTATCTTAATTCATCAAGCTACTAAATTTGAATGGAATGCGAAAATAAATACCCACATCATGCATTATAAAGTAATTAAGGACAACACAGCATCTCTAGACGTCAAGAATAACCTATTCATATTTCACATTTGTTGCAGCTTAAATGTGGTTCTAGGTTCAGCCTATTTTTTATTTAGGTTCTTATAATTTTGTCCTCGATAAGCTATTCTTGTTAGGGTTTTGTTTCTCTCTTTCTCATACACTCACACACACAAACAGGCACAAAGATAAACACACAGCAAAGCAAAATATGCTATTTTGTGTTTTTTTTTAGGTTACAGCACTGTCATAATATAATTATGATATGATAATAATAATAATAATAATTAAAATATTTTTTTCTTGTTTTTTCTTTTTTCTTTCTTTCTTTTCTGTTTAAAAATATATAAAACACTCACTGCAATGTTTAGCTAAGAAAAGGCAAACCTTTTTGCTATAATCTAAACGCTTGACTGGAATGACCGCAGATTGTAGTCTACAAACTGAAGGCTCGCGTAGTGTTGGAAGTGTGACAAGGAAAATAGTTTTTTTATTATTATCTACTGTGTAGGAACTGACCTGTTGGAGGCACCCCTATTGAAGTGAATGATCAAACTAATAGTGTTCATTATCTGACCCAAATGAACAAAGGACCCGCCCACCCACCGGAGCTCCTTGCGCCAAGGGCTTTCATCCAATGAGTGCAAATCTGAAACGACACTGTGTAGCGTCCCTCAAATCCAAATCGATGCGTCTCCAGCTTCTATTCTCACTTTTCCTTTCGTGATTTATGGACACCACTGGATCGATGGATGGAATAATTGCCAGAAATAGGGCTCATTAAAATGTTATATATCTGACTTCACTACAATGTCCTTCTAATAAACAACTTCAAATATAGATCACTCCAGGAGATCTGAAAGGACGTGAAGGTGATCCTCTCTCAACAGCTGGACTCTTCTGGTCATACCGTCACGGACAATGTTCTCGGCAACGGGGAAGCGCTGTTTTACCATTGAGTCTCTGGTGGCGAAGGAAAGCCCCATTACACTAGAAGACCCTATTCGCCCAACCGCTCTAAGCTACTCGGCGCCCGCTGACAGTTTTCTTAACGGGTACCAAAGCCCCGCAGGCCGCGCGCTCTATCCAAACCCCGAGCTGGTGTTTTCGGAGACTGTGAACCATGCACCTCTCAGCATGCACCCACACCAGCTCGGCAGCGCACCCCTCCAGCACCCGCACTTCTTTGGCACGCAACATCGTGAACCACTGAATTTCTACCCTTGGGTCCTAAGGAACAGGTTTTTTGGACATCGGTTTCAAGGTAAGTATTTTTGTCAACGGATAATCCTGCCATGCAACACTGAACAACTTTTTTTTTTACCTAGTGACAAAATAAATAATAAAACTGCATTGCATGTACATGTAGATCATATTTTAGTGTTCGATAAAACTAAAATTGTGCATTACAAAGCACTGTGTCAAACTTAAAGGGGCGGTTCACCCAAAACTAAAAATTATATCATTATTAACCTATAAGCTTAGCTTGTCACATACCTGTTTGAGTTTTTTTTTTTTTTTTTGAACGCAAAATAAGTTTCTTTTTAAAATGCTAGAAACCTGGAACCAATGACTTCCAGCAGCAGGCTATTGTTTTCTTATTATGGAAGTCAATTGTTATATATTTTTAACATTTTTCAAAATAACTTATTTAGTGTTCAACAGAAAAAGGAAACACATAAAGGTATAGAACAATTTTAGGGTGAGTACATTTTAATTTTTGTGAGAACGATCCCTTTAATCCGAAATTCAGAAATGCTCGCTCGCGGCTGTACTACTGTGGAGCGGGATAACATTGATAGTTGGAGTTGTATTGGAAGACGCCGGATAAGCTGCAAGTGAAAATCACAAATGATATGCGTACAGCTTTAGCCGTGGCCTGAGGCGATACTTAATAGCTGGATACAGATTTAGACACACAAAAGCTCAATGTCAAACCTCATAAAATGAATGCATTATGTTCCTATAAGCTTATAATAGAAGGAGAACAGTTCCGATAACAGTAATTGCTTAATAGGGAATTCCGGATTTTCCACAAGATTGTGTTGTCTCTCCCGCTTACGGCAAAGAGAGAAAGACTATTCAGCCCTAAATCTATAGCCCTAAATTAAGTATTTTTCAGATTGTACAGTATTATAGGCTACTGTTTAATAATACATTGTTTTTACTTTATTATACTTAATTAGCTGGCCGTAATGTCTTAATTCTTTATGCCTACTTGTTATTTGAAATATTATCATTGCCACATCGCCTAAAACTATTAACAGATGATCTCCATACATCGGACATTCTTGTGTTCAAGCTGTTATTTGCACTGAATAATATGAAAGTAGCAATGCATAAACTGAAATAATGTAAAATCTTACTTTAAGGGTCAAATTCGGCTAAAATTGTTAATTGCCTAATTTAGCAAACAGTGATGACATTTAAACAAATATTTCATGGGAGTAAATGAGAAAAAAATGAATTCATTTGAACAAATGATTTGGTTAATTGTTATATTTGAAATCATTGGCATATTTAAAATCGACAGACACAGCACATTTTAATTAATTAATTAATCAATAAATAAGGCATCCAATCCAGCATCAGCTTAAAGGTTGCACTGCTAGTTGTTAGTGTTAAACTACGCAAATTACTCGGCTAATTAGTAACATTGCAGGCCATGGTGGACCATGACTATCGTTTGTTTTTAACACTTAAATTATTTGGACTTATGTTAAATGCTTAGGCATACAAATGAGCAAATACATCACAATATTATATATTTTTAAAATATTATGCCCTATAATTGACGTCTATCCAAGAAATAGGCTATTTGAAACGGTTTAATTCAGACATAAATAATGTGTGTCTATCCTTTTGTTTACCCTTATCGTTTCATTCAGTTCAGTTTCATTCAGACAAATCACTAAAATATAAGCCAGTGTTACAGAATTAGCCTAGGTGCAAAATCAAGCAAGCGATAATTAACCAACTCTCAAAAACCAAAACAAGTTGTGCTAAAGGTATTTTTTTTATTTTAAATTATTAAAAAACGCATAGTATACTATTTCTATTATAAATAAGAATAATAAAATAATAAGTAATTGCATACTGTATAGGGCTATATTTAAAAAAATAATTTATTCATGGGTTTCATAAACTTAACCAAGTTCTCATTTCAATAAAACTTGATTTGTATTGTTTATTGTTGTTATATCTTAGGTAATGATGTCTCCCAGGACACGCTGCTACTACACGGACCGTTCGCGAGGAAGCCTAAACGGATTCGCACCGCATTCTCGCCGTCTCAGCTGCTGCGCCTGGAACGCGCCTTCGAGAAAAACCATTATGTTGTCGGAGCGGAACGGAAACAGCTCGCAAACAGCCTCAGTTTATCCGAGACTCAGGTAAACATTGGAAATAGACAACAAACACACTTTCTGGCTGTATTTTTAAAGCACAAGTAAAATAGTTCCATGGGACACCACAGACACAAAGGTTATGCTATGGATATCCTTTGGTTATTTTTAAGAACAAACATAACATTAATATAGGCTATAAATCTTTTGCAACCACAATTTCTACAAAATGTCAGGTGAGCTATAACCATTGAATACTTTGGATAAGACGAATGATTGATACGTTTTTTTTCAGTGATAAATGTTGTACTGACAAGCTGTTGCTGTTGGCCTACAAAAATGTAAAACAACACTTGGACTGCTTGCTGAATTCAGAAACGGGCCAATATCAGATAATATCCGAGTCTGAGAGGCTCTGGCTGGCCATGTGTCAGATATTTGATGCGCTCTGTGATATAATTCAGGACAGGATCTCAAATGAATGATTAGTTGATTAGTTGATAGTAGTTCGAAAGACCCACTCCTTAATGACAAAGGTCCAGAATTTATCCCATACATGAGCTCATTTGTCTTATTTTGACTGCTATGCCATCATAAATAGATAAACTAGTCAATTGAAAAAGGCTTTAAGACCAAGCAAAATCCTATATAAAATGAATTAAAAAACTTATTTGGCTATTTTTGTTATCCATGAATTTTCAATTCAAATCAAATGTATTTTTTTACAAGAGAGACTAGATCAATTGTGCTCTTTTATTATTATGTTTTATTTTTTTTAATATTCAAATAGACAAATTCTGACTGAGGACAGTTGAATGTTCTGGGCTGCGTTTCCCAAAAGCATCGTAAGCCTAAGAAGTTCGTAGAAATGATCGTACGACTGATCTTAATATTACGGTCTGTTTCCCAAAAGCATCGTAACTTAAGTAGCACTTGAAAATCTTAGTGGATCTACGAGTGCTCTGGAGTAATCGTAAAGCCTTAAGTGCATCGTAAGGAGACAGAGTTATGAGGGCACCTGCTGGACAACCGGCAAATTGCACCTACAATTTACTTCTCTTCAAAGTCATTATTCATTTTATTTGTACGTATATCTCTATTCATTTATATTTTCGTCCTATTAGCAAATGCACATCAGGTGGGGATAATTAGGCTAAACTTTTCAAAAATAAATGTAAGAGCTTATTTATTTATTTATTTATTTACTTATTTATTTATTTTGATGTGAGATAAGCAATTTTTGATAAAGAAATTGATAAATAATTCTACTAAATTAAGGTTTCATATAAATATCGAAAATGATGCTGATGTCATTTCCGGCAAGGACTGTTAGAATTAGTTTTATGCGAGATTGGAGCAAGACAGTGTTTTTACAGTACGACATTTCCAGTTAATTTATGTTTTTAAACTGGCTCAAAAATATTTTTTTTATGTTATTCGAGTTGAATATACATTCACACAAGTAGAAGAAGAATTATATGGATTGCTATAACATGTGCAACAATAACGAGCCATTCTATAGCGTGACATTTCAGCACTTAACAAACGGATAGCGACTCCTAAGTTGCACTTAAAGCTGGGCTACGTGCAATTGTGTTAAGTGCATTTTTGGGAAACGCACGTGAAACAATAACGAACGTTCGCAAAATGACTCGTAGAAAACGCTCTTAAGTGCTAAGATCAATCGTTATCGGGAAACGCAGCCCTGGCCAGTTTGTAGGCTACAGCTACAATAGGCTACAGTTTTTTTTTTAATTTAAAACGTTAACATTCTTTTTTTTATGATTTATGATGTAATAAATTTGAACTTTAAAAAATTATTTATTCATTTTCTTTATTCTAAATGATTAGGAAAAAATTGCTAAAAATAGTGCTTAAAATGTCACTAAAATACAGTATTTAAATCTCAAGTGATTTTCTTGTCCCTCATTTTTTATGAGGTAAAGTCGCTAACCAAATTAATTTAATTTGATAGTAATCATTGCGACAATACCAAAAAGGTCCTTCACATAAGCAACACTTAAAATAAGGCTACAGCTTTTTGTGGAATCTACGGCTTCACGTTACATATTTTCTGGTGGAAAACAACAGATTTTTGATGTTTTTCAGAAAACATGTAAAGAAAAGGGTTTCTTTTAGTTCACTGAAAGGTTTCTTAGTGAAACAAAAATTTATTTATGACATGATTGTGAAAAAGAACATAAATTGGAATAGTTTTATTTATTTTTTATAGAGTTGCCCAGCCTATATTCGAATGAAATAAGTTATGTCGATAAGTAGGCGACATAATAAGTATAGTACATAATAGTAGTCAGTTATTTGTTCTGGTTTCTGTTTTGTGTTCGTTTTTTAATCGAAATAATTTTAAAAAATCTCACATAACAAAACTTACAATTCAAGTTTTAATTTACTCAAAACAGTTAAAACCCATATTATAATTTACGTAGGCTACACTTATGGCTGGTATTTATCCCCGTGTGATTTTGAAATTAATTAAAGCATCGGTTTCGCGACTTAGTATTAGGTCATCTTGTATTTTTTTTTTTTTTTTTTTTAGCGCGGATTAAATTGAAAAAATAAATAAAATAAAAATGCTGGCAGCCTTTCCATCTTTTCTCACTAAGTTTTGAGTGTTTATTTTTTGTCTATCCTTATGCTTGCCTAACGTTGGACAGGATATAGGCACAGATGTCTTGAAATGTGTGAAATATGCTGTTGAACAAGTTTCTAATTTATTTATTACAGATACATTATTTGCCTTTCCTCTTTGGAAAAAAAGTATCTGAGGAATGTTAAAAATGACATTATCCTCAAAAGAAATTGTTCTTTTAGTTTGTGTTTCTTTGTTTGTATTCTGAAACAAAAGTAAACCTGGATGTATACGTTCGCATAGTAAACAAAAGCGAACTGTCTCGAACCGTGTCATAACGGCTGTTAATGGTTCGATCATTAGAAAAAAATGCATTTGAACTGTGTTGCAATGCAGTCTGTTTCGGTTTACCACTGGCGGGTTAAACTGCCTGTGTCAATCTGTACAGCCTTTACCCTATGTATGTACTACTATGTGCATATCAAATACTTACGTTTTCTCGTGAGATCAGGCTGGCATATCCTACTCACCAAAACACATTTGTGACGCTTTGTCCCGGTCTTCAGGTGAAAGTTTGGTTCCAGAACCGCAGGACCAAGTATAAGCGGCAGAAGCTGGAGGAAGAAGGCCCGGAGTGCACACAAAAGAAGAAAGGAAACCACCACATTAACCGCTGGAGGATTGCCACCAAACAGACCGGATCTGAGGACATAGATGTCATGTCTGATGCTTAAGACCAACCTAAACACTGCCCAAATGAACACACAAGACCAAGAAAAACACTATTTATTTAATGTTAGTCACGATATTTCAGATTCTAAACATTCACCTTCAAATAACAGCAGAGGACATGACCACGTAGCCTATGTGATACCTGAGTTGAGGATGAATTTAAACAGGTCAGCAAGTAACCCAGGACCCAACACTATAGCTGAATAACATGCCTCTTTTGGAGTTATCCAATGTTTGAGACATGCGACACCTGTAGGAAGAGAATAGCCTATATGCTTTTGCCACTTTTAGTTTTTTGAAAATACATATTAAAAAGTAAAAAAAAATATTCTCACAACATATTATTTAAAATTGAGCTCTTTTTGTGTTGTTTATTTGGGTTCCACATTATATTAGGTGTCTTTAACTATTGCTTCTAGACTATTAATTTGGTTAGGTATTCTTTGCACCACTGACTGACGTAAGTATAAAAATATAGTTTTACAAACAGTTTTGAGTATTAAATCATAGCATATTTTACATTATAATGATAACTAATAATAAAATAAAACAGCTGGAATTATTTTAAAACTGTTTTCCCGCCGATGAACAACAAAACCATTGTCAGCCAATCCGAATCCATCTTGATTTAAGAAACCCATAAAGCGCCAGACAACAAAACAACTTATAACATACATCATCTTCTGTTGTGGATAGATTTCCCCATAAAGTTTTTGGTCAGATTGGCTTAGAAATCCTTTTATGGCGTCAAAAAATGTGTAAAATATAGGCTACAAATAACCCAACCATTATGGATCATAATTTGAGAGATGAAACAATAACAATTGTCCTATTCTATTTCCCGTTTTTTATTTTTAATTTCCATAACTTCTGAGAATTTAAAAAGAGTCAGATGTCGATAAATAATGTAATAGCTGTTATTATGCTAATATATGATTGGATTGCCTCTTGTTATGGTTATGAAATAATAATAAGCAGGAAGTGTTTATAGGCCAATGACATCATCACGTTAAATTGGTTTATAATAAAATTAAATTAAGAAATATGTTAAACAAATAGCTAAATAAAAAAATAAATAAACAAACAAACAACTCTAGCTGTTCTCCATGTTTGAAGCAAATTCGGTGCAAAACAACCCCACATTTTTTTTATTGTACAATAATTAAAGCTTTAAGTACAGCTATGGGGTTATAATTAGGGTTTAGTTTAAAGAATAGTAGATGTAAACTATAACAAAAACATAGTGTTCCCATTAATTACTATTATCAATAATTTGAAAAACAATACCCTAGCTGGCATTGAGGTGGAAAACAGTTAAGGTTAAAGACAGTTTTAGTGTTATGGCTATAGGTTAAAAGTGTGTAAAGTGTCAAGGTTGGTGTTGCTTTAGGAATATTAATAACAATACATAGGTATTTTAAAGTACAATAAATGTACTGTATCAATCAATCAATTTAAATGTTAGCACAAAGTTGATGACACATAATATACAGTGGATCCAAACTTTGCTTCAATGGACATTTTATTAATTTCAAAACTGCTGACTAAAATGAAGTTCCATATGCTTTAAGATACGCTGATGTGATTGGTCCAGTTTTGTTGTTATTGTAATAATTATTTGAAATGACAGTAGCAACTATAGATTGAAATAATTTAAGTGGCGAGGAATCAGCTTACCAGCTAGTTTCAACATGAGCCATCCTGAACCCACAGCATAGAGGCAAGGGTGTATGTGTCAGTGTAAATACTGGTTTCTGTATCTAAAAGAGTGTATAGGCTTGAGTGTTTGTGTGAGAGAGGGAGAGAGTGATTTGAGTGCTGTCATTCAGTAGGCCTAACGAGTAAATACAGGTTGATGTATGCCGGTTTCTCTGTAAGAGCTCCTTGATAAAAGAGCTCATTTATAGTGTTCATTCACCTAATTTTCAAGAAAAAAAAACGATCAAAGTGTCCACAATTAATAAAGATGTTTAGGAGACAAACCTCATTATTTGTTTACACTTTGTCATATAAACATTTCTTTTTACTTTAGTGATTTTAAATGACTATTTTCATTTTTAAAACGGTCGCACATACTAATACAAACTTGGCTATTTTCCCGTCACCTCAGTACATCAACTTCCTGTCAAAAGAAACAGAGGAAGATCGTGTTAACTGCACCCGCAGGAGACCTTTGACCTCAACATCTGACCCTGAGTCTGCAGTGTGAGCAAGTGTTGTGAGAGTGAAACGCGCAGACTGATGACACCCAAGTATCACTTTCAAGTACGACAGGAGCATACTGAGACAAGGTGAAAAACATTGTTTTGGTGGGCTTTGTTTTGAGGCCATCAGATATTCAATCCGCTGTGCAGGTGCACACATCACATCCTCCCCAGCTTTACATCACACATTCCAGACATTCCCCATCAGCACAGAACAGTACAGAGACAGAGGAAAAAAAATATAGTTTCTAAGATTAAAGGCCAAGTTTGAAGCCCAAATAGTCCAGTTTGAACCCAGGATTCACCCTCTCTCCCTGGACTTGCAGTCCGAACCCCAGAGGGCCCCCTATCACAATTATTATCATAAAAACACAATTGAAAACAACTCTTAAAAAATGCTGAGTTCCACATAATTCCTTCATGTTGTCCCAACTCAATTGGTTAACTCAATGGGTAACTCCATTAAGTTAACTTAGTTGTTTTTACAAATGTAAGTATATTGAACATAACACAAGTTGTTTAAAAAAAAAAAACTAAAAAAATGTTTATTCAGCTCATTTTAAATAAGCAGTTTAAACAATAAGCAAAAAACGACAAAAAAAAAAAACATATTTGAGTGAATAACATTACAAAGCAATGATATGTACCGGAATAATGTTTAAGTCATGCAAAGATAGAATAACTATGCTGATGTTGTCTTATAACTATGCTACACAACTATTAAAACTAATGGTGCAAAAAAAGTTTTTATCCGCTGATGAACAATTGAAATTGACGACCAATCAGAATGGTTTAATTAGATTAAAAAATGAAAGCAGGAGAAAATAAAAAATTGTTTTTGTGCATTGGTTCAGGCAATAAAATAGTTATTGTTATAGAAATCTGTATTTTAAGGTATTTACTTAAACTGCTCTGAAAATTCTGGGTTGTTTCAACTCAACCTTTGTCAAATATGGATAATTCAGTTAAATATTCAGTTGTAACACTTTAAGTTGTCCTTGATCCATGTACTTACTATAGTGATAATTGCATGCAACTAACACTCATCCTAAGCCTATAGCCCAGTACACCTAGATACATAATGTTACTTGGCTGTTAAATGAGTTAGTAATACAGTAACAAAGACACCTTAAAATAAAGTGTAACATATTCAGTTAACAAAAACCCAACTGTTTGGTTTGTCGCTATTTGACCTAACATTTGGTTGAAACAACCCAGTATTTTTGTACCTACACTGTAAACAATGTTGGGTTCTACACAATTCCTTCATGTCACAACACAAATAAAAAAAAAGTAAATTATGATTTAACTACACTCATTTCAGTTGATAAAGTGGACTGTTGGGTTTTACAGTGTACTGACAAAATTTTGTGAATTGACAATAAAAAAAAATCAAGGTGTCTCAAGAAAATCTTAATAATAGTGTTGTTTCAGCTCATTTTGAATAAGTAGTTTGTATAAGCAGCAAAAAAACTTTTATTTATTATTATTAATTTTTTTAGTGTAATAAAGTACTGGGCTACAGAAGGCAATTACATGGATTAAAAAGATACATGAATAAAACTATTCTGACATTGTTTACTCACTCTTTACTTGTTTCAAACATGTTTGAGGATACAACAAGTTAGTGCATTTTATATACAAAAGGAAATATTTTAAACAATTTTGGAAATTGGTAGCCATGAACTTCGATATTTTTTTTGCTTACACTTTATTTTGGTTTAGTGTAACTCTTCAGTTACTGAGCCATTTTAATTAATTATACGTACTTATTATGTAGTTATATAGGGTATGCTGGTTAGGTTTAGTTTCATGGGATGGATGTGATTTTCCAACTACGCATGCATGTCAATAACAATTTCCAAAATTCTTCAAAATATTTTCTTTTGTGTTTAACAGAGAAAAGAACTAAAACTGATATGGAACAACTTAAGTGTAAGTAAATGGAGAGTCAATTTTTATTTTAGCGTGAACTAACCGATTAAAACAGCGGCACATGTTTATGTTGTGTATTGGACATTAATTTAGCTACTAAATCTAAATAATTTAAATAAATTTTCATCCAACAGAAATCTTCATAATTACTACTTTAAGATGTGAATAGAGCTTTAGAACTTGGAATGATACAAACGTTGATAAAACCCCTTTAAAATACTGAGGCAATAAAGTTGCAATATGCAGACATTGTGATATTGTATGTTGGTATGAAGGTTAATATTGTTATCTTTATACAGTAGTTCTCATGTTTGGTGAGAACGGGCCTTACGAATTGTGTATTTTGATGTGTGTGATAGCACAAACTGTAGCTGAACTGTCTAGGTGAAAATTATTTGTTAATTTTAGTATTTTAACAGTAAAAGACTGCTCAGAAAAATATAAAAAGCTGTTAATTGGTATCTGGTATAATTTCTTTTCCTGTATATACAGTATGGCAATATGTAGATTTACTGGAGCCTTTCATGTAATTTATAGTGAATAAAAACTGTGTGTAGAGTTTTTATAAGTGAAAAAGCACGAGCCATATTATAAGAAAACATGTATTTACATTCAGAGAAATCTTTGTGATGGTTTTTGAATAACAGTTTCTTAGATATTTCTTATCAGTTATGTTACGTGCAGGTTATTATTTGAAATTTTTTGTTGTAAAACATTTTTTTGTATTGCGATACAATATGATACCCTACAGCTATTAATATTTAAATATGCTTATCTTTATAACAGTCTTTTTATCAGCTACTTGTACTTCAATTCAGCACATTGCTTTCTCCTAACACTCTGTGAAGTGTGTTGAAGTCAGAATTATTAGCGCCTAAATTATTAGCCCCCGTTTATTTTTTTCCCTAATTTTAATGAAGAGAAGATTTTTTCAGCCCATTTCTAAACATATTAGTTTTAGTAATTTATATCTAAATCTAACTGATTTCTTTTATCTTTGCTGTGATCACAGTACATAATATTTTACTGTATATTTTTCAAAACACTATACAGCTTAAAGTGACATTTAAAGGCTTAACTAGGTTAAGGTTAACTAGGCAGGTTAGCGTAATTAGGCAAGTTATTGTATATCAATGGTTTGTTCTATAAATATATATAAAGGGCTAATA